GAAAAATAGGCGGTGATGTAAGTTAATATTCAAATATAATATAATCTGTAACAAAAAAAATATTCAAATATAATTAGGTGAAAAAGTAATGAAATCTTGTAGAACTTAAAGATTGAACATTCAAAACATGTATTGATAAGGTTTTTACTTAAGATTTATATAACTAGAAAATAAAAAGAGAAAATAGCATTATATACAAAATTTATAAATAAAAAAAATTAAAAAATAGAAGTGTAACGGTCATAATGGCTGTAACGGTGCTGTAGCGGCAATGTAATGGCCATTACGGCCTTTACATAATGGCAGTGGCCGTTACAGTTGTGAATTTCTGTCACACTATTATAGCGACCATAACGGGTGGCGGTAACCACAACAACCGTTATGTAATGTTTGCGATCGTTTTTTAAAACCTTGTCAGGGAGCAATTTTGGCAACTAAGAGTCCAAAGAAATGGGGGGTCCAAAGAAAAAGAGTGGGGACAGATAGCAGCACTATTTCTTGTATTATATATTTGATTATTCAATAATAAACTGAGAGATTTTCCTCTCCAAATTTTGGTTAACAGTTAAAACATTCATTAGAATTCAATACAAAGCTGCATGCATATTTCCAGGATATTGTAATTAATCTGAATTACAATAGGAAACAATGCTCTGTTGGACATTAAACTGATTTCAACTATTGCTAGTAATAATTTTCAGCACAGAAGAGAATGTGTGAACTGTGAATTGAAGTTGGACACATACAGGAAAGAAAGAGAATCGTATAAAGTACAAAGAGACCTAAGACTTTAGATAAACAGAATGCTCGTAAGAAAGACACAATATAACAGAATGAAGAAGATTTCGGGGAAAACTGTCAAGTTGCGTCAACAATTGAAGTTATATTTAGAAAGCAACAATATTGTAATTGTTACAGAGTCTTGGGTAGAACTCAACCCCAAAAACTAGCTCAAGAGGTGAGAGTTCCCTCACTCTTAGGCGATGTGGGACTGCGCTTCACACCCTCCCTCATGCCCAGTGTGCTCATTCGGCAGCACCTGCAGCATGTAGGCTAGGGACACGCATCCTACCCATCCCTAAGTACTTCGGCTCTAATACCATGTTACACGGTCTTGGTAGAACTCAACCACAAAAGCTAGTTCAAGAGGTGATGGTGTCCTCACGCTTATATGCTTAATATTATTTTAGTACTTGGGCGATATAGGACTCCGCTTTACAGCAATTATGCTGTGTAATTAGTACAAAGATAGCAGTCAAAATAAAAACCTCCACCACACACACGTACGCCAACAACAACAACAAAAAATAATAAAATAAAATACACTTGAATTTAGAAGAACTCCATTGAGAAACAATCGGAAGGTAACTTAATACAACTTTTTTTTATAATGAGACATGGTTCCCATGGAAAGACAACAGATATGGAACAAGAAAGAAAAAGAAACAGCTAGGAATCCTTTGTTGATCCTATAACTGATTGAGTTGAGATCAGAGACTGTTGGAGGGTACAAATCATACCAACTGCACATCAGTGGGAGGAGAGGGAACTATCTACATTTTTCTAACAAACAACACACAAACAATTGGTGGAAAGCCATGACCGTCTCTAACTCAATAGGGAACGTAGAAAAATGTTTCCTAGAAAGTGAAGGAAAAACAAAAGAATAAACAAGGTACTCTGGGAAAAAGTTGACATCATCATCCCCACTTCAAGATGAGCAATGCTTTACTTCATTTCCTGCATGTCCTCCTCAGTTTTCCAAACCACGTCCTCGAGGCATGTTGAAAGATTCTTATAGAACTGCAATATGAAAACACCAGAAAAACATTAACAAACGATAAAATGAAAAATTACAATCAAGTTTTACAATAGAGTCCACACAACATATATTATTATTGAAATATATTAACTAATATTTTAGGGCTGCAAACGAGCCGAGCTGAGCTTTAATATGTTTGGGCTTGTTTATTAAGATTTTAACGAGCTCTAGCTCAATTTGAAAGATAATAGTGCCTATCGCCAGAGCTCTTTTTTCGCTTCCACCGCTTCTTAGACTTTTTTCTCAGCTATGGAAGCATAAAATTCAATGCCAGCATTATCACCCTATTTTAATCTCATTATATCAAAATTTTGAATCTCATTAAATCTTTTCACACGGTATTAACTTAAATTATGAGCACCAACGTGACTGGCCCTGTCAACTAGATTCAGCCTAAACCCTAAATCACATTTTAAAAAATAATCAAAATTGAACTACCAGGGGGACTACATTAAAATAATATTTTCCATGGATATCCAACCCAATTCATTTTGAACAATTAAACTTAGGGCAATAGGAAAGCCACATAACAATTGCCCGTCTTTTAAACAACACAAGGTACACGATATATAAAGGACATTGCCCATTGTTGGTCCTCATAAACATGGAGAAGCAAATAAATTGTAATATTAAAAAAAAAACCTTAGTGGAAGAAGGTACCTTGTGGAATTCCAAAGTGTCACCTTTTGCTTTTCGCACCTCAACCATATGAAGAGATGGTGCCACTTGAAACACCTGATTGAGCCATAAGAGATCAATAAAAATGAAACTTATGATCAAACCACCGACTTGATTGATTAAGCTTTGATTTCTTTAACATACCTCAGTAGCAACATTAAGGTTTCCTTTTCTCCCAGCTTTCACATTTTGAAGCCTCATCTGGAAGGAAAAAATAAGAAGCATGTTATTTCTTTCCTTTTTCCTTTCATTGATTCTCTCCTTGTTATTAGCGGAAGAGGGGTCCACACATTTTTCTTAAAAATACTTAAATGCCAGTTCAACTTTGACTTGACACCTTGTAGTTTTTCTTGTGAACATCAAAACCAAGAGGTTTTGCAGCTTCTTCGATCTTGCTGATTATCTCATTAGCAGGACATTTTGATGTGAACCTTGTTTCCCTCTTAAATCCCTGTAACAGTAGCATTAACACCCGATATGCAAGATGATAAGAATTGATTCTGTAACTGGCAAGTAAAATTTCAAACTACAAATGAAGATAATTCATATCATCTACCAGTTATTTTTATTAAGGTATCTGATTTCAATCAATGGACCCACTCTGATAAGTAATTGCTTTCTTTTGCCAAGTTGCAACAAACAATGAATCAAAAAGACAAACACTCCACATCTATATGATGGCTTTTAACTGCCTCATGACTACAAGATCAGATAAATTGAACATAAAACTTCTCACCGAAGTTCCTATAATGTTAGTATGCGTAAGTTTATCCTCTTTATTCCAAAAGCTTCTATAATTTCAAGTCAATGATGAGGATTGAGCCAAACTTGAAAATTAAACCGTGTAGTCAAGTGTGAATTATATATTAAAAGAAAGTATTTAATAAGATATCAAATTTTTAATGACTTGGGAAATGTCTAACTGGTAAAAAAAAGAAAGTATTTTAGTACTTATATATCAAAATAAAAGAGAAATTCAAAATTGCAATAATATAGAGACATTAAGTTACGCAATAAAACTGTGAGTGATAGAGCATCGCTTAACAGTTATAGCAACACTCTTAGATAATCGATTTCAATTTATGCGTGGTAGATTAATAGTATAGAAAGAAGCGGAGGGATCTTTATATAGTTTTTATAGATTTAGAAAAAACTTACGATAGGGTGCCTAGAAGTATAAATATGATGGGTGTTGGAAAAAAATGATGTCATTAAAGGGAATATTGGTATAATAAAGAACGTGTATAATGAGATTGTGACTACAAGTAGGTCATCTACAGGAGAAACTAATGAATTTCCAATCACTATAGAATTACATATAGGGTCAGTTTTAATTCTTACGCGGACGAGTACTTCTAGCACATTATGTGATTGACAAAAATCAAAAAAATAGAAAGGAAAATATTATAGAACTATAAAGCTAGTGATGCTCTATGGGACAGAACGTTTAAGCAACTAAGAAATGATACATTCATAAAGTGAGTGTAACTAAAATAAGAATACTTATATGAATGTGTGATAAGACTACAACATATTATTTAGAAATGAATATTTTTACAAAATGGTAGGACCAGCACCAACTGAATATAAGTTGAGAGCAAACATACTTACATGGTTTGTACTCCCCCCATCCCATTTTGATAATCCCTTTAGAAAATTCTAACTTTTTTAGTGGACATGTAATCATTGCATTTGAATTCAAATTTTAGAGTACATATTCCAATAATGCCCTTCTCTTTTCATTTTTAATATATTTCTAGTCATTTAAAAAGGGTAGTTTTGGAAAACTAAATATTTTTTACTTTTTCAAATAGGACTAACATTTTGGGACATCCTAAAATGGGAAAAAGGACTAAAAAAATCGATAGAGGGACTATCAAGAAGAGTTAAAGATGCAATGATAAGAAAAAGTGATACGATCCCCATAAATGGAAAATGTTAAAGGGAGGGGAAGACCTAAACAGACTAGGAATGTGATAGTAAAAACAAATATGAATTTATTTAATCTAACTGAAGATATAGCCCTTGATAGAGCTAAATGACGAAAAGAGATTTATGTAGCTGATGCAACCTAATTGGGATACAAAGCATTATTCGGCTTGGATTGGTTAATTAAGTGCGACTCAATTGCTTTAAAATTTTCAAAGATTTGTATGACGGGTAAAAATGAAAGAAAACATATAGGAAATAGATTACATTATTCTGGTTTCCTGGAAACGGGATATAATATGCCACCTAGCATTGTTTCTAATCAAGAAATCAAATTGGATAGTCTACTGCTTAATAGATATTCAGCTGTTCAAAGGTTAAAAGGTGCAACAATAATAAAAAAGAAGCAAACCTGCTCTACATCAAACAAATTCCCAAGGTTGAGTCCCTTTGACATAGAAATCAACTCAAATGCATTCATGGCTACTGGCTGTTCTTCCTTCTTCTCCATCACATGATGTTCCTGTTGTAGATTTTAAAGCATACACTTTGTGAAACAACACTTTTGTGAAGTTACATTACAGCATTTTCTTTCAAATAAATACAAATTCTTCTTTAAGTTTGGAGAACTTACCTCTGAATCCCTAAAAACAGCTTCGACATCATCCAAATTTGTATCTTCTTTTTCCTCAAACACAGGTGGCTTATAATCTCGTTTAAACCATTCATCTTCCAAAATTTCAGGAATAGTGATGCGCTGCCACAGGATGCGTTAAATTGGACAGGTAAAACCAAAAAAAAAAAATAATACTACGTAAAAGATAAGCCAGAAACTACATTTCACTTCAGTTATAAACTATTAATAATAAATATGCTGAAGGACCAAGTAACTGGCACAAGTATAATCTAGCCAAAGCTTGTACATAACACCTAAGCAACAAGAGGGAAGACCATGCTTACGAAACAAAATATGAAATTTTCTACAACAAATTAACGTCAATCATGAACATAGCTAGTTACAGAAATTTACAAAGGAAAGAAAAAGTGAACCAAATTAAACAAACATCTAAGCTTCGATTTCAATCTTGCACCTCCAATGGCACTAGAACTAGGTTTTACTACTGAATTCAGTTACCAGAGTGTATGCAAGTTAAAAAATGCTCAAGTCAGAAATAAAGCCACAAATTCATCAAAAAAATGTGAACTTAAGAAACTTACAGTCATAGGGTTGGGATCCAAGATTCGAGTTATCAATTTCATGGCACCAAAAGACAGCCAATGGGGGCAAGTAAATTCAGCCGCTGAAATCTGCAAACAGACCCAAAGAAACTAACAAACGCATAATGGAGAAAAATGGTTGAACAGTGCCATGAAATCAGTACAATGCTCACTTTTTTATACAGGTTGATAAGATTAGAATCATCAAAAGGCAAGTAACCTGCAAGCAATACAAAGAGTATGACTCCACAAGACCACAAGTCTGCAGTTGCCCCGTCATAGCCACGATCATTGAGGACCTGAACAGAAAGACAACACATCACCACAGACACAAGAACAAAAAGGAAGAAAATGGATTATACCCGAGGAAAACAAGTACGCATAATTGAACAACCATCCATACCTCGGGAGCGACATAGTTTGGCGTTCCACATGTAGTATGAAGTAGACCATCATCCTGCCAAATCAATCTCAAAATAAGAACTACTTCCCAAATACTCTAGAAGATGTCAAAAGTAAGTTAAGAATACAGACATGTATTTTGTAGATGAAAAGGAAAAGACCATTAGAAATGTTAGAATTTACCATCACCTACCACCACTACCACCTCACCTACTCCACTAAACCACTCCACTAAACCTAACCCACTACACCACTACCACCTCACCTACTCCACTAAAACCCACTACACCACTATCACCATCCACTACACACCATCCACTACACCTACATCTATATAAGGAACTATTTGTAATAGACAGAAAATAATAGATCAATCAATATCAATCAATAATACAGTATTTTTTTACTTGGTATCAGAGCTATAAGATTTAGACCTATATATTGTTTTTCCCCCGGCGGGCAGCCGGCCGGCAACCTTGCCTTCGCTGCCCGTTGGAGTTTTTCTATACATACCTTCTCTCTCCATCTCTGTCTCACACAATCCCAGAATCACGCTCATGTTTCTTCATCTTCGGTGAAGATCAATTGATGAGGATCACAGATCACAAAGCTTTATTCGATAGAACATAGGATTTCGGCTTCATCTTCTCTAACCCTCTATTCTATCTCTCTCTAAACCCTAGCCCTTGAAATCGAAACGCTATTGTATCTTCGATCTATGTCTGAAATAAACCAAAACCCTTGATTGAATCAAGTCGAAACCCTTGAAATCACTTGATGAAGAAGATGAAACCCTTGAAATGAAACTCAGTGCATCCAAATTGGCTTCCTGAAGAAGATGAACCGACTCTTTAGAATGCTGAAATCATCTGAAATTCGTCAACCATCTTCAAATCCAGATGTGGAAATTATGCCTCTTTTCAGATGCTCGTGCATGGCTCCATGGTGCCGGTCCAAGTGGAAGGTTCGGATGAACAATACCAGCAGTCATTATTTCTTGCGAAGTGGAAGATTGGTCCAAGACAAGAGACCCTCCTCTTCTGTGGCAGCAAGTGAATTGGGTTTTTTGAGGCCAAGACACACACAGTGGTTTAAGATTGATGATGTTGGCATGGATACAGTGATGTTTTTGGAACAGATTGATGTTGTTCTGCTGTTGAGCGAGGAAGACTCAAAGATTTTCAAGTACCTAGATTCTCTTGAGGAGAATAAAGAAGAAAAGAGCAAACAACACAGGGGGACATAGCACACACTGTCACTCTCTCTCTCTCTAATAATCACCCCCACATGCCTCAAGATATTTCACGTGGGTACTCCACCTCCATAGACACATCAAATATTTCAAATGAAAGAGTGAAGCATGGAGGAAGATTGCAGAAATTTTAGCACTGAAATGGCATGCAAAAAACACTAAATCATGCAAGCAATGCTTGCAAGGCACGCTAAAAGGCCAAAAACACCAAAGCTAGTGAAGTGCATTACACTAGGAGCATGCAACACCAAGCTCAAACAACCAAACCAGCTATGGACAGGCCTAAAACATACCAAATCAGTGGCCTAAGCATGTTGAAATTAAGGCACAAAAGAGTAGAGAATCATGCGCACACATTGGCTCGCAAGCAAGGCATAAGGCACAACTCCCAAAAGCAATTAAAGAGCGATATATGTGAGAGTGTGACAGAGGTATATGCATTGAAATCATGTGCTAAATGATGCTATATCATGCGAACATCACAAGCAAAGCATGCTAAGGTCCTTGAAACACAAAACTAGTGAAGCTAACAACACCATAGCTATACAAAGCAAGTCTCGAGGGACCAAGACCACTCAAAACAGAGTTTAAGCATGTCAAAACAAGGCCAAAAACATGCTGGAAAGGAGCCAACACATGCTAGAATGATAGGCTAAATCACCAAGTATACTAGGCTAGCAAGCATGATTACACTACAAGTGTATGAAGCAAGCAAGAGGTGCTCCAACCAGCCCAAAACAAAGTTATAACATGTTAAAATATGGATTAAAACATGCTTGAACTAAGCTAACATAAGCCATAAAAAGATGCTACTTTGTAGTGCTAACAAGGCGTGGCATAGAGAGACAAGGAGGGGAGGCCATCCCCTCCCATTTTGGACCTCAAAATGAACTTTCTACCATTGAAATTCCCCTGGAATTCAGTTGTCAGAAGGCCAAAACAAGATTGTTTGAAGGGCTTTAAAAGATGGCACAAAGTTTAGCAAATAAGCTACAAAGGAGGGTGGACCACCCCTAACTCCAAAAGGGCCTCAAACAACTATTTTTAACACTTAAAAATAGAGGTATTTTTAGTTGACGACTAGGCCAAAACAACATGCAAAGGGGGCCCAAAATAGTGTACACAAACAAGCTTTAAAGGAGTAAATGCTTACCCTTGAAGCACAATAGCTAAACACCTACAACTCTGAGCTAAAACCAGCTTTTTAAGTCCAAACAAACCCTTCAAGAACCTTAGCTCCAAGGTGGTGGTGTTTGGCTAAGGGGTTGTGTGCAAAAATGCAAAGAAAACTCACTTTCAAGCAATATAGAGAGAGAGAGAGAGAGAGAGAGAGAGAGGATTTGCTTCTAAATTTTTTCAGAACCCTATAAAAGGGGGACGAACCTCCCCTTATATAGGAAAACAAGCTAAAAGCTTGTTTCCATCCCTCCATGTGTATGGAGGATGGCTTCAGTGACCAACAGCTGGTACACAAAATATCTGAAAAAGCGGAAAAATGACCGTTGGCCACCATTAGTGGCCGACCGGCCATTAATGAGGCTGACCGACCATCAGCGTAGCCGACCGGCCACCACTGATGGCTGATGGACATAAGCCCTGGCCAATGGGTTGTAGGGTTGGCTGGCAGGCCACCCTCTTACCCAGAAGTAAGGCTGCAAGCCCTTGGTCCACAACCAAGCATAACACAGACAAGTTGAGAGGTCCGAAGGCAAGGCACTCCGCCAGGAACTTCAGGCGCTCAAAACGAACACGAACATGAATGATCATCGAGTGTTGAAACGATGACGTCCAAGTCTTGAGGACAGTAAAAAATGAGGTGTTTACATCAGCATAGCGTCTCCCATGAGTCACCAATACTTGAAGAAGAATACCATGATAACCAATGGGAGAATGAACCAGATAATGGGGATGACTTTTACAATCAACTCTCAGCAGTAGATCTTGAAGATCTTTCAGATAGAATGTATGGATGAAAAACAAAAATGATCTATATGAATATACTATCCATTTTATGCTGATAGTTGGGATGGCGTCTATTTATAAATTCTTCTAATACTATATATAAATGATCTGTATGACTATTTTTATCTGCGCTAAATTCTAATATATCATCTATATATACCAATACAAAACTATATTTATTGAATATACTATTCATTTTACGCTTAAATATGGAAGGGGCATTTTTAAGTCCAAAAGGCATGACTAGCCATTCATAATGTCGTTGTGGGCAACAAGTGGCTGTCCAAGGTATGCTTTCCTTTTCCATTTTTATTTGCCAGAAACCTGACTAGAAATCAAATTTGCTAAATATTCTTGTTGTATGTATTCTATTTATAAGCTGCTCTTTATGTGGAATATTGTATTTATCATCTTTTGTATTATCATTTAATCTTTTATAATTTATAACCATTCTAGCTTTCCCTCTTTTTATCTCTACATGATTTATTACCATAAATGCGGCGCTTCTAAATTCATTTATATCTGCTGGCGTATGATCTATTTGTGCTAATGTAATCCTATAATCTTTATTTTTTATATCTAAGCTAGCTAAGACTTTACTTCTTTCCCAATATTTCATGGGCTGTTCTCCTAAAATTTCTGTTGTTTCAGCTAATCTTATTATTTCGTCTAAATCATTTTTTGTTCTTCTGCATGTTGGTTTTTTCTTTAGTTTTCCTATTTTTGCGAAAATTAATTATAAGTTAACAATTTGTTAAAAATCTTCTAAATTCCAAGAGTCATATTTTTCTTTTAATTCAAAATCTTCTATGTTTTCTAATTCAAAATCTTCTATATCTAATTTTTCTAAAGAAGTATTTGCTATCTCTTCATTTGGTATATACTTTTGGGCTCTCTCAGGAAAAATATTTCTACTAGGAAATAAAAAACTAGCGGGAACAGAATTTACTCTTGTGGTACCACAACGCTTTGCATACAACTCTGATAAATGAGCAATGGTGCTAAGGGCATATGTTGTGTGTGTATGTACTGTTCATTTGAAGAAACTAATGTTGCTATGGTTGATAAACATGCCACCTTGTAGACTAAGTATGAAATTAAGGCCTAATATAAAGGGATGGGTTTGTCGAGCATTCCCAATCCAAACTTAGGGTAAAGGGAACCATTTTGTATGTTAAGTTTGAGAGCCGATATGATGGAAACTAATTTGTGCTCCGTTAATGCAATGTGTATATGTCTGTCTAGTGACATCAGCTATACTGACTAAAGCTGGGTTGTTAAAGGTGAACCCCACCTTGGCGAAACTATGTGTTGTTCAATATATGATTTACTATTGCCGGTATCTATCATGGCATTTACACTAAGAGTTTTTTCTACAAACTTGATTACACAAGAGATCTAAACTAAATTTAGCTTGGGTATAATAGGGTAATTAAATGGTAAATATGCATTGTTAGACTATTCTTGGGAATATTGACTAAAAGGTTGAGAATCAACTAGGTTGACTAATTCTAAAGAGTGCATATGTTCTTTAATAAGTTTATCTTTTAAGGGGTATCTAGTATGAAATTGTTGCAATTGTTGTTTAAGCATTCTATGTCAAAATTAGCCTTAGTTTCTGATTCTAAGCATTTTATGTCAAATTAGCCTTAGTTTCTATCTCACGTATTTGTAATCTAAGTTCTTTTACCTGTATCTCTAATTCTCTAATTGTTAGGTGTAATTCTTTGTTTTCTAGACTATGATCTTCTCGCATCCCTTCTTTATTTTCTAAAGTTATCTTGTGTGTCATATTTAATTTTTCTAAACAAACTGTACAATAAGTTATACTACATAATGAACATTGAACTCT